TTTTTTGTTTTAAAACATTGAACTGAAAAATAATTCCTATCAACTGCAGTGAGGCTGAAAAATGAAGCACTTTTAAAAAACTTGAACCAAAATGAAGTACTTTCAAGAGTCATTATTTTCCAAAATAAAAGTTGAGCAGTTTTGAAGGACTTCTAAGGACTGTGGGAACCCTGTATAATAAAGATGTAACAATTTTTAGTTACAAATAAATAAACTGTTATTATTTGATTTTAATGAGTTATAACCATTACATTTTGGTAGGTGTTTCATAAAAAAAAAATATTTCAACAGCCTGCGGACACATTCCACATTACGACACAAAAAGTTAAGTGAAGTCGTATTTAAAGGGTTTTATCAACTCGAACTACGTTAATCGTTCATTTTTCGTATCACGTAGTTCTACCAGACGCGAAAGAGTTTTTTTTCTGTTCCTTTCGAACTTTTTGTAGCAAAGGAGTAAGTTATTAAGGGGGAATTCAATTGACTGCAATTGCCTCCTATTATCTTATCTTCACGAACAGAACGGGAATAATCGCTCTCTTATCAGTTACCATGGACACCAACACCAACAATGACCCTCGGTCACGTCCCTCAGATCTTTGTTTAATTTTCTGACTGATATATCCACATTAAAATAGAAGCTCTCTTAAGTAAACATCTAAGAATTTATGGAGACAGATTTTTAAAATTCCATAACGTGCTTTCCTTAAAACAAACGACTATTTCCTCTAAATCATAAATTTAACCTTGATGAAGTCCTACCCTTGTTTTTTCACTGGTTCCTAGCAAAGATATTAGCGATCTGAAGTAACATGTACAATATTAGAAATCTGTAAAGTGATTGAATTTGCTTCCTATTATGCTTAAAGGACATTAAGCAATTCCAATTCAAAGAAACAATAGTCAGTCTATTAACAAACATTTGTTAAACATGTAAAGTATCTAAGTCGGTGAATTAATTCAACGGCATTCAGAAAATTTGTAAGTTAAAAAAATGCATAATACATTAATGTTTCATTCATGAATTTCTACTTAACATCATCACGACAACTTTACCAACAATTTTACATTAGTTGGGCTATATTGGTTGAGTAACGGCTATAAAATATCAGGTCAGTAGGGCAATTTCAGATACGGTCTATATTGGCTAAATAACGACGGCTAAAAATATTGGATGAATCTACATTGACTATATGTAGATTCATCCAATATTTTTAGCCGTCGTTATTTAGCCAATATAGACCGTATCTGAAATTGTCCTACTGACTTGATATTTTATAGCCGTTATTCACCCGATATTTGAAGCGTGGCTTTAAAATATCGGGTGAATTATACAATTTTATCTATGGTCTATATTGGCTGAGTAACGGCTATAAAATATCGGGACCATCGGACAATTTTATGCAGGATTTAAATTGGCTGAATAACGGCTATAAAACATCAGTTGAGTCTGACACTTCTATATCAAACCGATACAGGCTGAATAACGGCTTTAAAATATCGGGTGAATAAAAAAAATCTGTATGAGGCCGATATTGAGTAAATAAGGGAAATAAAATATCAACTGAATTTGAGTGGCTGTAAAATATCGGGTATATCGAACATTTCTATATCGGTCCAATATTGGCAAAATAATGGCTCTTTTAAAGCTTTGTTGAGCCAAGGTTGGTAAATAGGGGCCCAATGCGTTCCCAAGATATTACACAAAAGAAAACGGTTACAGTTGTTTTTCCACACTATATGGCTTATAGTTTAAAGGCCTGTTTACACGGTCCAAGTTCTTGAATCCGATAACTTGGAAGAATTTCTCTGTCCAAGAAATTGGGTGATTCGTTAACACTATACAAGTTCTTGAATGTCACCGATGGGTCGGATGAAACACCTGCGCATGCGCATTGCTCATATTCAACATTTAAAAAAATCATGCTTACATGACTTCAAAATTACTAAAATAAATTCAAATAAAATCATAATAACACAAATAGACCCTAACAGATTAATTTATTCGGAATAAAATTTATGAAAACGGACAGCGAAATGACATAATGTGATGCCTGCTTGTTGACGTAACGAAACTTTAAAAGCTGATTGGTAAAGGGCGTTAAAACTTAGATAGAAAGTCGAACATGCTCAACTATCTTTCAGGGACTTAGACCAAGAACTTGGAAGATCGCTTACACGATCCAAGCAAAATAAGTTTCCATCAATTTCAATCAGGACATTTTATACCGGCCTTAACGTCATATTACGGTATGATTATATCATGAATAATTTTTATATTTATGGTGTGAAGGAACGAAAAACTTAGCTTGGTGCGGTTAGTTCTATTGCTTCATTCCAATAAAAATTATTGAATAAAGGTAGGATTGCGCAAATTAGTGTGTTCGCTAGTGTTCCGAAATTTTTCATATCATGCATTTATGTAGGAACACAAAATTTCCCAATCAATGGGATACCTACGTAGTGTGGATATATCGATCCTGATGGGTTGTTGAAGCGTGGCATTTGCTTACGTTTGCAACTGTTCTTTTTATTCAATTTAGAGTAATCTAAGCCTGTCAAGTATCAATTCTCGTAAGTGTCACATTCTATATTTTTCCATAAATATATCAATTCCTTCATTATATTTTTCTTACTTAATATAAAGACAGGCACGAAACCATGTAGACATACACAAACTAACTATGCATCGAAGTTGCCAGATACACAAAATAAAAGTATATTACGGTTACAATAAAATACATAAAAATCTAAGTATAAGATTCAGACGAGAAAGAATTATAGTTTAACAAATTTGATGAGCGATACTACCCAGTATTTAATCAACTTCACGTTAATTAACATTCTGCCTTATGTGGGGAAACTTAACGATTAGCTGGAGCTGACGACATAGGTTTCATATGTGGGTATTGAGATCTTTTTTAAGTGCAAGTACCCATTCCAAATATTTCATTTCAGATTTTAGTTTTGTAATACGTGGAATGTTTTTCTCTCATATATTTATTTACTCCTTTTTATTTCATTGTTATGTGACAAATTCTACTATAAATAGAAACGAGAGAAAAAAATTATTTTAAAAATGCTTTTGGAACTTAATTACTTAGTTTAAAAGGAGTAATGGGGCATGTCGTCCATATAAATATGTATTTTATTCAATATTGAAACAAATTTAAGAAAAAGAAAAAAAGATTACAAATTTAAATATTTAAAGTAAATCGTAGTTTTACTTAGCAAACTGTACTTTAGTTTTCATTTGCACACGGCATGCTTCTATTACATCATTACAGTATTAATATCTAAGCATTGCATGGAACATGATAACAAATAAACCAATCGATTACAAAAAACCAAATGATTTTAAAAAAAACTTGATAAATTCAAATAAAAATAATAAAAGAAAACGATAAACTCATCCATTCAACTATCAGTTAAGATAGCATTGCGCTAAACCTTTTGGGCGAGTGTTGACATGTTGTCGCACATCGAAGAAAACGTATCGCCTTTTTTATATAGTTTAACAATGGGGTGGAATGGACTA